TCTTCTTCTTCGTCGTGGTCTTCTTGCAGGTGCGCGGCGGCTTCTCCGTCCTCAGGTCCGCTATGGCGGACTATCTCCTTTGGCGGCCACCTCGGCTATGGCGCATCAGGCCCTGCATACGACGGCGCACATGGAATAGCGGGTACCAGCTCTGATACCAATGCAATCAGAACATGCACCCACTTAGAACTCAGAGATATGGCTTCCAGTTACGAGCTCACTTTCAACTGGCTATGGCGACTTGGCGCCCAAACAACTCACTGTTCACACACTGGATCACCCTGGATATCCCACACACGTCACTCTGAATACTGACACATGCATACACACTTCCACTTGCTACAGCTATGGCAGCTATGGCTGCCTCTAACCTATCGCTATACTAACTCCTCTCTCGCCCACTGCGTCCTCCGGGCTCATCTGCAGACCTCCTTGCACAAGTCGCTGTGGCAGCGCTTCCGCATGGCTCACGCAGGAATGAATGAAAGGCTGGGCGCTGCCTCTTGATTTATACTTCAGAAACTTGTTGGTCTGCCCTTTGCCATCGGCCCATGGTGCTCACAGTCCCCCCCGTGGTACTTGCTGGACCGAACTGGGACTGACTGGACCTTCCGCTGACTGACTGTGGACTCACCGCTATCCTACCGACGTGGTACTGCTATGGCACTGCAGTTTAGTCCACCACTGGCCTCGCCACTTGACCACTTGCCCACTTGCCTACCTTCTAGAAGGACTACAGCTAAGCTTCTGGACTCACTAAGACTTCTACTCTACAGATCTACAGATCGAACCCCTGCTACCAACGGACCTACGACAGACCTACCAGCTGTCTACGAATAAACAGGTCGCAGGTTCAACTCCTGAGGTCTACACAGATACTGTACACGGGTAGGGTGAAGTCTAGGGATCGAACCCTGGGTACTGCATCCGCTGCTGCTAAAAGGTGAAAACCGTTTCAAACCGATCAATGGGAACACTTTTTTTTTTTTTTTTTTTTTTTGGAAACACCCGCGACAACAGATAGGAGTGATGCAGGGGGCTCCAATCTATTGGTGGGGAGCTACACCTGCTGGAAAGCGGGTCCAGCATCCCTCACTGCAATCAGACCCACTTTCTTCTTCACTTCACATACATGCAGACAGATGTCAATCCACGCTGGCGCTGTGCGGTCACACAAAGCTCAGAGATATTCAAGTTGAGAACACAGTTTGGATACAAACTCGCTTCGAACTGGCTATTGCGCCTGAGCGCTCACACATCCTCTGTCCAACACTGTAGTCACACAACCGTTTGCACGTAATCGACTCTGGATCTCCCTGGATATCCCACACACACACACACTGAACTCTACCTCTAAGCTACAGCGGCTATGACCGCTCTACTACTACTGGCTATGGACGGGCTATCTCCCTTCAGCCCACTTCAACTTCGGGCAACTGCAGACCACCTTGCACAAGACGCTATGGCAGCGCTTCCGCATGGCTCATGCAGGAATGAATGAATGGCTGGACGCTGCCTCTTGATTTATACTTCTGTAAGTCCCTGGTCTGCTCTCTTCCACCGGGCCCATGGTGCACACAGTCCCTCATGGTACTTGCGGACTGTACAAAGTGAGACTGGGACTGGGTACCGCTGACTAAGCGAAGTTGGACTCACCACTTGCCCACTTGCCTCTGGTCTGCTGTGAATAACGTGAGAAAAACTTGAAAGGCCACTTCCGGACCTTCCGGAAGTCTGTGGACTTGGCCTTTCGAGACTGTAGCAGCTGCGACCTTGACCTTTCAGGACTGTAGCAGCTACGACCTTGACCTTTCAGAATTGCTACAGCTACGGCCTCTACACAACTATGATCCCTAGTCGACAGATCTACAGATCGAACCCCTACAGCTACACAGACCTACGACAAGCAACAGTCAACTACTAAAACACAGGTCACGGGTTCAAACACACAGGGGTCGACTCGATACTGCACACGGGTGTGGTAAGGTCTAGGGATCGAGCCCTGGGATCTGCATCTGCTACTGCTAAGGTGAAAACCGTTTCACTCACAATCATCTGAATCAAATGAACATCAGAGAACTGGGAATGTGATGACTCGCCTAAAAAGCACCTCTTTTTCACCCTTTTTCACCCCTTTCTTGCAGTCCTGTTTTTTTTTTTTTACCGGTTTACTTTGAAGCCCTCCATCGCAGGGTTCTACGAAGTGGCAACCATCTTCATCTTCATCGTGCTGGCGTTCTTCTTCTTCGTCCAGGGAGCCACTCTGCAGTGGGCATCGTGATTGGACTGCCAAGTGTCGTGTTGGGTTCAGGAGGGTTATGGCGGCTGATGGGCTGTTGGGTTGGGCGCTGTGCCACGCCATAGCTAAAGCCTGGAGCTTGACTTGAGGGAGGAAGAAGAAGACTCCCAGACACTTCGATGAAACTTTTGTAAATCATTGGTTTCTGGGTGTTAATAACGTGGTTGGGGTTCTCGGGAAAAACACAGTGTTGATTGGCCAGAGGGAGCGGGGTGTTAATTTGAACTGGTTAATTTCAATTCTTTTTTTGGTTGAGTGCTTCGTCTGTATATTCTCTCGCCTCGTTTGGTGTGATTTGCTCTCTCCAAGATCTCTTGTCGTTGCGCACGTGTCGGGGAACGTGTGCATGCCAAATGCTAAATTGACACTGTGACAAAACTGCAGTGAGTGCTTTTCTTTGCCTATTTGGAACTCAAACCTTGACTGAGATAAATTTGTTCGAAAAACAAAAGAAGGGGTTGCCGTAGAGTTTCAGGTCTGCTTGTTTGCTGCTGAAGCTCCATCTACTGGTGGAGATCACCCACCATCTGCTGCAAACCAGGCCCAGCATCCCATAAGATGCACAATCAATAGTATCAGACTGACCAGGACCACGTTTTTGCCCCCTTCATCAGGGGCACCAGATGGAAAATTGAACCCAGTCTATTTCCTCCTGTGAAACACAGCAGTGTAACCTATTCATCACTGCCATCTCGAGCTCGTCAGGCTGAACATGGCCTGTCTGAAAGCCATTTCGCTCATCTATGCCTGTACCTGCCAATCCCCTCCCCTTTCCTTGAACCACCGGTCCACTTCCCAGCCATGTTGTTCTGAACCGGGTCAGCGTGCGGGGCCTACCAGACAGAAAAGGCTGCCGGCACCAGGCAAAAAGACTCAACTTTGTGCCCGTGCTGGTTGTTTTTTACTTCGGCACACAGCAGAAGTCCGCACCGGAAACAGGAGACTCGGGCTGACTGGTCGTCATCCGTGCCGTAACATGAGAGCTCAGCCAAAGCGAGGGATGAAGGGGGGAAAGTGTCCGGGAGATCTGTTTGGGGTTGGTATATATTATATAACCATCTTCTATCCACCTGGGTCCATTTCTGTAAGGCGAGCTTCAGTGAATTAGTGCAACTGCATTTGCAGGGGTATCATAAGGGAAAGAATTCCCAATTTTGAATTTTTTGAGTTCATTGTAACTCTTTTTTCCCAATTGCATGCAGGTGTCCAAAGAATATGGAGTGCACTACAATTATGCGGACCCCTGTATTGATCCTCCTATTGGCCAACATTTTGAAATGGAGTGGCAAATTTTGAAAGCCTTGTCGCAGGCCGGGGTTCTCAAGTTTGGTGACCCATGTATTGCTGGTAAGATATCAGTTGACGTCAACAGCAAAAAGCACGGTACACACATCTGCACACACACACACACACACACACACGCACACGCATACACAAGCACACGCATACAGGGGTTGACAGAAAACGGAGGATTGCAGGGACAGAGGAAAAACGGGGAACAAACAGTAAGAACATCTGCTTTCTGAGAACCCTCCCCACCATTTCGCAGTATACCCCCTCGATTGATTCCGGAAGGGTATGGTTTCCCTTGTCCTTTTTTCTTGTTTTCTTTTTTCCTTTTTTCTTCTCTTTCCCCCCCTTTTTTTTTCTCTCCCCTTTTCTTCTTTTTTTCCTGTTTTCTTTTTTCTTTTTTTTCTTCTTTCTTTTTTCTTTTTTTCTTTTTTTCCTTTTTTCTTTTTCCTTTTTTTCCTTTTTCCTCTTTTCTTTTTCCTTTTTTCTTTTGCTTTTTTCGTTTTCCTTTCGTCTTTTTTTTGCCGCCAGTATTGTACCAATACAAGGAATAAAACGTTTCGGGCTCCCTCGAGCCAATCACCACTCAAACACCAGAAAAGAAGAAACCCCCCCGAGTGCTGATGAGACAATTATGGGTTGGGACTCACTACGCATACGCAGCAATAAAGAATAAGAAGCGAATTGATACGGTCCGAGGATTTGATTTGAAGTACGTTTTCCTGTCTTTTTTCTTCCTCCCTTGTCTTTTTTCTGTTTTTCGATTTTCTTTTTTCACTGGACAGTTTAGGAGGCTTAGCCAGCAAGCGTTGGATCGCCCGAAGAGGGCAAGCCAAAAAAAAAATTCTCTCTCAAACGTTCCGATTCTCTCTCCTCCCTTTGTTTCTTCCCTCTTTTCTCTCTTTTCTTTTTTTTTTTTTTTTTTTTT